AGAACAAAACAAAATTACCAGTCTTACTGCACATTTTAGGAAACGGTAAAACAGAACATTTGTCTAACTGTAAACGTATTAATAGCCTTATACAGGAGACCATTACTTTAAAATTGCACTAATACAAAAAAACTTTAACCTAAAACCTAAATAAACAGCATTTTGAATCGGCAAATACAACATTTATAGTTTTGCTTTTTGACAGTCTATAATTTGACATTAAAAACAAGATTTAGGTAAAATAAAGTACTTTACTAAAAGCTGATCGTTTATTCTGTTCACAATGATTGAACTTGGTTTTTTAAAAGAGAGTGTTCTTCGGGCTAATAATAAAATTGTTAGCAAAAAACAAAACAGAAAAACATTGTTTGAAATCATTACTTTTAATACTTGTAGTACAAGAATTGAAAATCATGCATTGCTTTAAAAAGACCTCAAGTGAATAGCTTATAAACCACGATATGTGCACTAGACCTCTGTTCTATGTTTGTAAACTGCTCTAAATAGGAACTCGTTAGTGGAAAAAGAAAAAAAAAAAAAAAACAACAACTAAAAATCAAAACAAAAAACAAAACAAAAAAATCATCAATTGACGTTTTACATATAATTAAAAAGAAGCTTACAAATTTTGGCAATCAGTGAGTTTAATGTTTCTTTTCCATATTTTACATCTATACTTTATAGCTATAGCTAGTCTTTATCTTATACTTTATAGCTAAAATTGAAACTATTAAAGCAAAGAAGCATCACACCTCAATAGGATTAAAAACTTAAATCAACAGATGCGAATTTGAATCTGTTACCTTCGCTTGAGGTAAAACCAAGAGCCACGCCAAAGACACATAGAGCTAAAACTGAAATATTGACAGCGCCAAACCAAAAACAAACAGCATAAAACAAAAAGTACTTTGAAACATTTTATTAAACTTACATTTGCAGATTGATCTAGTCTAATGATTCCATAATTTGAAAGTTAAGGAGAAAAAACATTTATTTAAAATATCTGCAGTATATAAAAATATCGCTTTTTTGTCAAATATTTTAACGAACTACTAAAACAAATGTTGGCAAAGAAGCAAGCCAAACATTAAACTTCAATAAAAAAAACAAAAAACAATTGATTTTTTGTTGCACAATGTAAAGACATTCTCATTTATAAACTGTTAGTTTATTATTTACTTGGTAAAAGCAAGACCTCCGCTTTGTCTTTTATTGCACTAAACATGAAATGATTAAAGGGAAAAGAAAATAAGAAAAGAAAAACAAAATATTAAAAAGCTTCACATCTAACTACTAAGTAGCTTACAAAATGATCGCTGGAGTGACATTCATAATTCTTATTTGCATTGACCATTTACTTTATACTTTATAACTAAAATTGTAATCAGTTAAACAAGCAAACAGCACACTATAACACTATTGAAAACATGAAATATCTGATGCAATAATATAATTGTTACCATAACTTGGATAAAATCAAGTGTGAAAATACATACAAAAACCATGTAATAAAGAATTCGAGAAGAAAAAAAAATTGCAAGGGCTAAAACAAAAAACGATTAGAAAGAAACAAAATGTAACTTGAAACATTTCACTTGTCTACATAATAGTTAAACTGAATTTTACTTACTTTGGCTGAGTCTTATTGCTCTATTATTTTATTAGTTTAGAGCTTTATTACACAGACATCAAGTTTAGAAGCAGGCAATGATTTCTATAAATTTTGTGTATTTTTGAAAATACATGTATGAGCTGGAAAAAAAAATTGTTAGCATAGCAAAACACATTTTATTTTGTTTGTTTTTTTTTTTTTTCATTTTGTTTCTAATCGGTTTATTAAACTTAAATAAAACAAATCAAAAAAAAATTAAAAAAAAACTAATCATGATTCTGACCACTATGCTTTTAAGACATGCAAATAAAGAACAAAAATTCGCTAATTTCTTATAAGAATCAATTGCTTACGTAAAAGGATAGTTTGTTTGACATTATAACGTGAGCCACGCCACTTCTTTGTCTTTGCGACACTAAAATTAAATCTGATTAACACCCAACCCCAAAACGATATATAAAGAAAATAAAAAAACATTTGTGACCACAAAAACAAATAATTGAAGCATATACTTAGCATGTAGGAAGACGCACTTAAATGAAACAAACTGCGTTTGGATTATACACGCAAAACTAAACAGACCACCAATCAATATTTTCTTGTTTAATGCAAAAAACTTTATGTGAAAAAAACAAAACAAAAACAATAAAATGATAAGAACAAAACAAAATTACCAGTCTTACTGCACATTTTAGGAAACGGTAAAACAGAACATTTGTCTAACTGTAAACGTATTAATAGCCTTATACAGGAGACCATTACTTTAAAATTGCACTAATACAAAAAAACTCTAACCTAAAACCTAAATAAACAGCATTTTGAATCGGCAAATACAACATTTATAGTTTTGCTTTTTGACAGTCTATAATTTGACATTAAAAACAAGATTTAGGTAAAAAAAAGTACTTTACTAAAAGCTGATCGTTTATTCTGTTCACAATGATTGAACTTGGTTTTTTAAAAGAGAGTGTTCTTCGGGCTAATAATAAAATTGTTAGCAAAAAACAAAACAGAAAAACATTGTTTGAAATCATTACTTTTAATACTTGTAGTACAAGAATTGAAAATCATGCATTGCTTTAAAAAGACCTCAAGTGAATAGCTTATAAACCACGATATGTGCACTAGACCTCTGTTCTATGTTTGTAAACTGCTCTAAATAGGATTTCGTTAGTGGAAAAAGAAAAAAAAAAAAAAAAAAACAACTAAAAATCAAAACAAAAAACAAAACAAAAAAATCATCAATTGACGTTTTACATATAATTAAAAAGAAGCTTACAAATTTTGGCAATCAGTGAGTTTAATGTTTCTTTTCCATATTTTACATCTATACTTTATAGCTATAGCTAGTCTTTATCTTATACTTTATAGCTAAAATATAAACTATTAAAGCAAAGAAGCATCACACCTCAATAGGATTAAAAACTTAAATCAACAGATGCGAATTTGAATCTGTTACCTTCGCTTGAGGTAAAACCAAGAGCCACGCCAAAGACACATAGAGCTAAAACTGAAATATTGACAGCGCCAAACCAAAAACAAATAGCATAAAACAAAAAGTACTTTGAAACATTTTATTAAACTTACATTTGCAGATCGATCCCGTCTAATGATTCCATAATTTGAAAGTTAAGGAGAAAAAACATTTATTTAAAATATCTGCAGTATATAAATTTATCGCTTTTTTGTCAAATATTTTAACGAACTACTAAAACAAATGTTAGCAAAGAAGCAAGCCAAACAATAAACTTCAATAAAAAAAACAAAAAACAATTGATTTCTTGTTGCACAATGTAAAGACATTCTCATTTATAAACTGTTAGTTTATTATTTACTTGATAAAAGCAAGACCTCCGCTTTGTCTTTTATTGCACTAAACATGAAATGATTAAAGGGAAAAGAAAATAAGAAAAGAAAAACAAAATATTAAAAAGCTTCACATCTAACTACTAAGTAGCTTACAAAATGATCGCTGGAGTGACATTCATAATTCTTATTTGCATTGACCATTTACTTTATACTTTATAACTAAAATTGTAACCAGTTAAACAAGCAAACAGCACACTATAACACTATTGAAAACATGAAATATCTGATGCAATAATATAATTGTTACCATAACTTGGATAAAATCAAGTGTGAAAATACATACAAAAACCATGTAATAAAGAATTCGAGAAGAAAAAAAAATTGCAAGGGCTAAAACAAAAAACGATTAGAAAGAAACAAAATGTAACTTGAAACATTTCACTTGTCTACATAATAGTTAAACTGAAATTTACTTACTTTGGCTGAGTCTTATTGCTCTATTATTTTATTAGTTTAGAGCTTTATTACACAGACATCAAGTTTAGAAGCAGGCAATGATTTCTATAAATTTTGTGTATTTTTGAAAATACATGTATGAGCTGGAAAAAAAAATTGTTAGCATAGCAAAACACATTTTATTTTGTTTGTTTTTTTTTTTTTTCATTTTGTTTCTAATCGGTTTATTAAACTTAAATAAAACAAATCAAAAAAAAATTAAAAAAAAACTAATCATGATTCTGACCACTATGCTTTTAAGACATGCAAATAAAGAACAAAAATTCGCTAATTTCTTATAAGAATCAATTGCTTACGTAAAAGGATAGTTTGTTTGACATTATAACGTGAGCCACGCCACTTCTTTGTCTTTGCGACACTAAAATTAAATCTGATTAACACCCAACCCCAAAACGATATATAAAGAAAATAAAAAAACATTTGTGACCACAAAAACAAATAATTGAAGCATATACTTAGCATGTAGGAAGACGCACTTAAATGAAACAAACTGCGTTTGGATTATACACGCAAAACTAAACAGACCACCAATCAATATTTTCTTGTTTAATGCAAAAAACTTTATGTGAAAAAAACAAAACAAAAACAATAAAATGATAAGAACAAAACAAAATTACCAGTCTTACTGCACATTTTAGGAAACGGTAAAACAGAACATTTGTCTAACTGTAAACGTATTAATAGCCTTATACAGGAGACCATTACTTTAAAATTGCACTAATACAAAAAACTCTAACCTATAACCTAAATAAACAGCATTTTGAATCGGCAAATACAACATTTATAGTTTTGCTTTTTGACAGTCTATAATTTGACATTAAAAACAAGATTTAGGTAAAAAAAAGTACTTTACTAAAAGCTGATCGTTTATTCTGTTCACAATGATTGAACTTGGTTTTTTAAAAGAGAGTGTTCTTCGGGCTAATAATAAAATTGTTAGCAAAAAACAAAACAGAAAAACATTGTTTGAAATCATTACTTTTAATACTTGTAGTACAAGAATTGAAAATCATGCATTGCTTTAAAAAGACCTCAAGTGAATAGCTTATAAACCACGATATGTGCACTAGACCTCTGTTCTATGTTTGTAAACTGCTCTAAATAGGAACTCGTTAGTGGAAAAAGAAAAAAAAAAAAAAAAAAACAACTAAAAATCAAAACAAAAAACAAAACAAAAAAATCATCAATTGACGTTTTACATATAATTAAAAAGAAGCTTACAAATTTTGGCAATCAGTGAGTTTAATGTTTCTTTTCCATATTTTACATCTATACTTTATAGCTATAGCTAGTCTTTAT